GCAGACCTCAAATCTATTCTCTTATTCTTATCTTCCTTAAGGAGATAAGATTACAATATATTAATATACCAGGGAATGTTATATATTGTATCTGAGATATATATCTCATATTCTTTTTATGCATTCATCTCTCAGTAGACAATGTGTGTTGCTCCCATGCTGGCTATTTGAAGTGAAGTAATGAGCATTGGTTCTTGATGCATCCTGATTTCAATCCCCTAGTACAAATAGTCAGAGTGGTATTTCTGGTCATTCTGTTTAAGGTTTTGAGGAATTTCAGTACGATTTTCCATAATGGCTATACCATGTTGTGTTCTTATGGTCACTCTAGCAGAGTTTGAACTGTTCCATGTTCTCTTAAATTCTCTCTCTCCTCTTGTTCTCACATACACATGCTGTTCTAAAAGCTGATCTCTCATTGTGGCTTTTCACTTGAAATAGCTGATAATAAATGGATTGTTGGAGACCTTCCTTCCTTCCTTTCTTTTTTCCTTTCTTTCTTTTTTTTAGTTGATTATGGGGCTTGAACTCTAGGCCTGGGTGTTGTCCCTGAGTTCTTCAGCTCAAGGCAAATGTTCTACCACTTGAGCCACAGCACCACTTCCAGTTTTCTGGTGGCTAATTGGAGATAAGAGTCTTATTGACTTTCCTGCCCAGGATCGCTTTTAATTGTGATCCTCAGTTCTCAGCTTCCTGAGTAGCTACAATTACAGGCATAAGTGACCAACATCTGGCTGTTTTGTATCTTCATATACATTGATGTAGTTGTCAACATTTATAGCTTGATATTATTTTTCCTAATGTCAGTAGAAATTAATAATGGAGGGATATGCACATATCTCCATCTGGAATACACATTGAGTGGTATATTTTGCAGTAGAGATTCAACTTGGTTTTTTCAGATGGCTATGCCCACTTGTCCAAAACCGTGCATTGGTTAATCTGGCTTTTCCACACTAATATGGAATGACAGATTTTTGAAACCAAAATTTGATGCAAGATATTTTTCAATCAAATATTCACCTACCTGCAATACATATGCCCTCCCTATATCTAAAGTTCCATTTTTCTGCATGGGCCAATCTAACTATATCTGGATGACAATTGTCACTCAGGACCTCTTGGGATATTTCTACCATCACCTTATTATGAAGAAATATGCCAGGGAAGAGAATACTTGAAGTGTAAAGACCAGAGACCATGTCTGGAAATGGAGTGGTAAACTATATTTTAAGAAGGCTCACTTAAGCTGTGAATTTATTTTACCTATGAACTAAGCTGAGTCAATGTTTTCAGAGAAGTGGTAAAGAAGTGGGTATCACCAGTGATTACAACTATCATAACCTAAATAACAGCCATTCAATTTTTTTTCCTGACAGTCCTTGAGAAGTTTTTCTTTGAGATAACTGAAATTTTTCATGTACTCACAAAGTCAACAAGTGAGATGCAGTGTAGTGTTTTGATAAAAGTGAATGGCTGGCAGATAGAAGGCCCAGTTTTCTAACCATTGACTATGATTCTATTATTGTATAATTTATTTGTTAGTTTAAAACATTTTTATAGATAAGTTGAATCCCTGTTATGTGAAAATAATTCTTCTATTAAGAAATAAGACACAGATATTATATACTTTATTTTAAAAATGAGTTTATGTTGAAAAATGGAATGGAATACATCAATGTGACTTCAAGATTGAATACTACTGTCTCTAAATTCCGAATCAGAACACAGGCTCTGTGATGTACCATAGCTCCATGATAAGCCTTTGTCTAGTAATTCTAGTCACTGATAAAGTCCTTTGGATTGATGTGGGAGTAATAGATCAAATGAAGACGATGGTTCATAAATACTTTTTTCTATGGTAGCATTCAGGGTCCCTATAATTTTTTTTTTTTTTTGGTCCGGTCATGGGGCATGAACTCTGCGCCTGGGCGCTGTCCCTCAGCTCTTCAGCTCAAGGCTAGCGCTCTACCACTTGAGCCACAGCACCACTTCTGCACTTCTGGCTTTTTTTCTTTTTGCTTATGTGGTGCTGGGGAATCGAACCCAGGGCCTCGTGCATGCAAAGCAAGCGCTCTACCACAGAGCCACCTTCCCAGCCCCCCTATAATTTTTTTTTAAATACATTTAAAACTAGTTTCAGCAGTATTTAAAATGTGTCCACTTAGTAGCCCAGAAACAACCAAAGCTTCATATCTAATTGACTCTACCTTTCTTCCTATAAAACATAAGATAAGTCTGCTCAGATGCTTTCTTTCTTTCTTTCTTTCCCTTCTTTCTTTCCTTCCTTTCTTCCTTCCTTTCTTCCTTCCTTCCTTTCTTCCTTCCTTTCTTCCTTCCTTCCTTTCTTCCTTCCTTTCTTTCTTCCTTCCTTCCTTTCTTTCTTTCTTTCTTTCTCTTCCTTCCTTCCTTCTTTCTTCTTCTATTTCTTTCTTTCTTTCTTCCTTCCTTCCTTCCTTTCTTTCTTTCTTTCTTTCTTTCTTTCCTTCTTTCTTTCTTTCCTTCTTTCTTTCTTTCTTTCTTTCTTTCTTTCTTTCTTTCTTTCTTTCTTTCTTTCTTTCTTTCTTTCTTTCTTTCTTTCTTTCTTTCCTTCTTTTTTTCTCAGCTCAGAGTCTCATTCCAATAGTTCACAATTGCTTTGGAAGGGATGTATGTTTAAAACATTCACACCAATGACTTCAGGCAGGTGAGTTTGGGCTAAAGCCAAGGAAGAAGCACTCTGATACAGAGAATTTCCTTTTATCCAAGTTGAAGATAAGACAGCAGACAATATCTTGTGGTAGATCAGTGAGAAAGAGGATAAGTTGAAGCCTGAAAGTCAATAAAAATGAAATAGTGAGACAAAGGACAAAGGAGGGACTAATGCAACAGCGATATTTACAAGACAATATGTTGGAAATGATGTGTACAACTTCGGAGAGTGGGGGCGGGAGGGAAGGGAAAGTAGGAGAAAAATGAGGGAGGGAGTATAACAAATTTGACAAGAAATGTACTCACTAGCTTACTTATGTAACTGTAACCCCTCTATATCACCTTGAAAATAAAACTTTAAAAAGTTTTAAAAATAACAACAACAACAACAAAAGGATGAAACCAAGTACTGGTGGCTCACTCCTGTAATCCTAGCTACTTGGGAGGCTGAGATCTGAAAGGATTGCGGTTCAAAGCCAGCCCAGGCAGGAAAGTCCATGAGACTCTTGTCTCCAATAAACTACTCAGAAAAAGCCACAGGAAAGTCCATGATACTCTTACCTCCAACAAACTACTAAGAAAAGGCCAGAAGTGGCACTGTGACTCAAGGGGTAGAGCACTAGCTTTGAGTACACAGAGGCTCAGGTTCAAGTCCCAAGACTGGTAGGAGGAAGAAGAAGAAGAAGAAGAAGAAGAAGAAGAAGAAGAAGAAGAAGAAGAGGAGGAGGAGGAGGAGGAGGAGGAGGAGGAGGAAGGAGGAGGAGGAAGGAGGATGGAGGAGGAGGAGGAAGGAGGGGGAGGAGGAAGGAGGAGGAGGAAGGAGGAGAAGGAAGGAGGAGGAGGGGGAGAAAAGAAAAAAAATGAATGAAACAATTTGAATTTCCAAGCCAGAGTAGGACAGGATAAAAGTAGGAATATATTACAACGAACTAAATTGGTGGGAATTTGATACAATAAACTAAGGTAGTTGGTCATGCTGTTCAGATTTATGGCACATAAAATGTGGAGGTGGGTCACAATTAGAATGGACTCATGGGCATATGACAGTGTAGATTTATAGCATAAGCATGCTTGTAACTGTGCGTAGTCTCTAAATTATGCATTTATTTTTTCATAGGCCTAGAAAAACATTTGCTTATTTAAAAATTCCCATTAAGAACTGATAGAGATTAGGAACTTTATACTTTTAGACACTTTTTGACAGAATAAAAGTAAGTGAACAAAATTTTAATTACACTAAGATATAATTTTTCCACTGTACAAAGGCTTCCTGGGGCAATGCCTAACAAGAATGTCATTTTATTTATTTTGGTTGGTTGAACTAGGGTCCTGGGCACTGCCCCTGAGTTCTTTCACTCAAAGCTAGCACTCTATCACTTTGAGCCACAGCACCACTTCTGGTTTTCTGGTAGTTAATTGGAGATAAGAGTCTCATAGACTTTCCTGCCTGGGCTGGCTTTGAACTGTGATCCTCAGAGCTTAACCTATAAAGTAGCTAGGATTACAGGCAAAAAACAAAAATGACAGTTGCCTCTCATGATGGCAGATGGGTGAGTACTATGTTTTAAGTAATTAATGTAAGTGTATGGTCCATCTAAAATCAAAGACTATTTCAGTGCAATAATTCATATTTCATCAGGATGAGAAAATTTCAAAATATGTTTACAGTACCTTGGTAAGGAAAGAGAAATCTTGCACCTTGATCAGAGACAGACTAGACAGTAACAAGAAGTTTATATTACCAGTTTCCCCAAAGGCTTACACCATATTCCCAATTTAAATATAATTAGAAGTCACTATAATTCAAATATCTGTCCTGATTTGTGCCAAATAATCCAGTCTAAAGCTTTGGGTCTGAAACAAATGTTTTTAAATGGTTTCACAGTGTTGTTCATGTACCACAAAGAGTTCTCAAAACCATAACTTTTAGGAACAAATGTTCTCAATATTCGCGAGTCATTTGTAAAGTGAAGAGACAAAGGGAAGAGAGAAGAGAGAGAAGAGAGAGGGAGAGGAAGAGAGAGGAAAGAGTCAAGAGGGAGAGAGGGGACAGGGAGAGAGACAGAGAAGCTCAATAAAAGTTTGTCTGACGGTGAATCTAATGTACAAGGGTTCCACACTGAGTCATAATTGGCTTTGTGTTGGAGCATATATGTCAACTGGTGACATCAAGCACAGAGGAGAATAAGAGTTTCTTATAACAACACAACAGCTTATCACCCGTTTGTTTTCCCCAAATAATAGAACTACAGGGAGGACTTTGTTAATTCTGGAAGTATAGCCTTGTGTTGACAGTCACCCTTGAGAAAATGTCTACAATAGATTTGATGGAGAACCTCAGGGAAGAGCTCACGTGTTTCATCTGTTTGGACTATTTCAGCAGCCCAGTGACCACTGAATGTGGCCACAGCTTTTGTCTCAGGTGTCTCCTCAAGAACTGGGAGGAACACAACACACCTTTGTCTTGTCCTGAGTGCTGGAGGACTTTGGGAGGACCACATTTCCAGGCCAATGAACGCCTGGGAAGGCTGGCGAGCATTGGCAGACAGCTCAGATCCCAGGTGCTGCTGAATGAGGAGGAGCCAAGCGGCGGTGGGAAAATGGCATCTGCTACTAGGGTATTCTCTGATGATGAGCAGAGTGTCATCGCTTTCTCGACCCCTAGTCATGGAATAAACAGAGGTTATCTCTCCAGTGAGATGGAGGAACAACATAAAGTAAGATGGGCATTCAACACAAATCTCAGAATAAAAGGCTGGGAAGGTGGCTCAGTGGTAGAGTGCTTGCCTTGCATGCATGAGGCCCTGGGTTCGATTCCTCAGCACCACATAAGCAGAAAAATGCTGGAAGTGGTACTGTGGCTCAAGTGGTAGAGTGTTAGCCTTGAGCTGAAGAGCTGAGGGACAGCGCCCAGGCCCAGAGTGCAGCTCCCATGATCTACCAAAAAAAAAAAAAAAAAATTCAGAATACAAGTCAAATCCTGTCACTTAACCCCATATCCCCAATAATATGGTGTATTGGTGATACCTTGGGGGACATGCTCCTCCTCAGACATTGCACCACAAAGTTGTGTGGATCCTGTTGTCATCCTTTGGCCTAGAGTCTCTGTCATCTTCTACCTGTCAGTTTTCAAGGTTCTCTTTGTGGCTGGATGCTCTGTTCGTTTGCCTCGGGTTTATTTATTTCTGTTGCAGGAGAAACTCCAGGATATCCTAAGTCTTTTGCGTAAAAAGAAGAAGGAAGCTCAGGCTATCCTGACCCATGAGAAAGAGCGAGTGATTCTATGTAAGGTTAGTATTTATCTAAGTTTTTGCTCTTGTTTGATTCCGTGGGGGATCTAGGGGAGGTGGCGTTATGTCCAGAGTTCTGGTTCTAGTCCTGCAGTATGGTCCTTCATTTAGTCTGCCTGCTGCTGCTTATCCACGGGGAAGTCATACAACCCAACCCAAATTTATGCTCCTGAGGTGGATTTATTTATAGTTTTCTTTGTGTACCTAAACAACTTTGGCTGTAACTATTTACAATTTAAAATACAGATTATAGGCATACTTCACAGGATAAAAATGGATTTTAAAAAGGAATGTCTTAGATGTTGTGAGGGAAAAAGAATGTAAAATAAGCTGGGATCCAGTATTTTGTGCCTGTAATCCTAGCTCCTCAGGAGGCTGATATCTGAGGATCACCATTTGAAGCCAGCTCAGGCAGGAAAGTCTGTGAGACCCTAATTTTCAATAAATTACCCAAAAAGGCAGATGTGGAACTCCTGGCCCTGAGTTTAAGCCCCAGCACAAAAGAAAGAAAGAAAGAAAGAAAGAAAGAAAGAAAGAAAGAAAGAAAGAAAGAAAGAAAGAAAGAAAAAAAGAAAGAAAGAAAGAAAGAAGAAAGGAAAGGAAAGAAGAAAAAGAATGCAAATTAAAAAGAAATAAAGAAAAAGTGACATAAAGGCATAGTAATAGTTTTAACTATGCCCAAATATCTAAAGTTGGTCATGAATTTGAGTTATCCAGAAGTCAAAGCAAAGAAGCAAATGTTTAATTGGGTCTAAAACACTAATAGTTGAATATCTCTGGAGTTCTCAGATGTGAATATTTATGATGTAAATTTCTGTTTCTCCTATATGAGCCAATGTCAACTTTCACTGTTGAATTAATGGACACATATATTTTTCATAATTGTTCCCCTTTGTTGACTTTGTTTTATTTCTCATTTGTCATCTATATGTATTAAAAAATTATTTCTTCTACTAGAATGACAATTTTTTTTTTTAGAATACAAAATTTGGATTTGTTTACTCAGGTTTATAGCATGTTTACTCATGAAAATATCAAAGTCTACCCAGCTAGTCATGTTTCAGGAAATTTCACAGTAGAAATACTGTAACTTTATGTAAGGCTTAAAAAATCTACAGATATCTTGGCAAAAGCATTTCTATTATTAACTCAATTGTGTGTGTGTGTGTGGTGTGTGTGATGTTAGGAAGAGACAAAGACTTTTAAACAGGTTGTTGTGTCGGAATACATGAAAATGCACCAGTTCCTGAAGGAAGAGGAACAGTTACAGCTGCAGCTACTGGAGAAGAAAGAGAAAGAGAACATGAAGAAATTAAAGGAGAACGAGATCCAGCTGACCCAGCAGGTCAGAAACCTGAGCAAAATGATTGGACACATAGAATCTACATGCCAGAACTCCACTCTAGAATCTTTTGAGGTAAAGCTAAAATTCATGAGGTGTTGGGGGGTGGGGTGGGGAAGAACAGAAAAAGAAAAAAACAAAACATAATGACCTTTAAAGACATAGAGAAATTATTTTTCCTAAAGAATGACATTGTACATTGCAATTAAAATCAACATACATGTTAGAGGCATGTATGTAAATTTCACAAAAAACACTTTGCCTTTGATAATTGATATATGCTAACAAAATGTCTTGAAAAGTAGAAGAAAACTAAAACAAAATGGAAGAACATCCATTCCAAATGAGCTCAATGATGTCCTCTAATTCCTCTTATAAGTTTGTAATTTTCCCATATTCATATATTTTATTAAGTTGATATATAAACACTTTTCATGTCCTGGATGAAAGACCTGATGAACATAAGCACTACTACAACATAGATTGAGGTTAATTGTCCTCTGTCATCTATGAAAATGTTTTATAGTCGCAGTTATTAATATTCAGACCTATTGCAGGAAGGTGATTTGCCCATCAAACAATTAACTATTGGTTTAAGCCAAGTGTTCTTTGGGCCAAACCAATTTTTCATACCACCTTTGCCCTCTAGCATTCCTAGACTGTAGCATTGGCCATAGAGTTATTGTCCATAGCTCCTCGGAGCCATTAGACAAATGGCATTGTACATGTGGTCCAGTCTCAGCTTCACGACCGATTCCTGGACTGATTCCACAGAATGCTATTATTTAATTTAGTGCCTTTCATAAAAAATTCCTACTTTACCCAGGCTTAATTTCTTCCTCCATTTCCTCTTTGAAGTCTTTTTTTAAGTTGTGAGAATTGAACCCAGGGCCTTAGACATGATAGGCAAGTTCTACAACTGGGCTACATCCTGACCTCTTAGTCTTCTTTCACTGGACCAATTTCTAGCTTTATGAAGCATTAAATAAATGAAACTAGTATGCGATTTCTTTGAAAAAAATAGGTCCTAGGCACATTGTATTTAATGTTACATCCTGAAATAGTGATATGACAGGAAAAAGAATAAAACGTTTCCTTGTCATATGTGAAACATCTCATATTCACCAAAAACCATCCCTGGAAGAAATTGGTGAATTTTCCCCTTCACTATTCCTCCCTTTGAAGTTGTTCTAGAACAATGGGGAGGAGTTTTTGTGAATTTTTCAAGGGGTTGTATCTGAAATGGGTTCACTCTTTGCTCTTAATTGATATGCATAAATGCTAACTTTCTTTCTTTTATACCCTTAGGAAATAAGAGAAGCTCTGGAAAGGTAGGTTGCCATTCTCTGTATAGTGAGGCAGAAGATGGGATTTGGTGTTGATGAGATAGGTTCTGAAATGGGGGATGCGAGTGTTTGGGTTGTTGGCAAAACTTGATAGATTGCCAAGTTGTAATGGGTTGTGCTGTCCACAGAAGAGATGGTGAGGATCTCTGTTCATTGTTTCTAGGAGTGAGACACTCCTGCTTCAGTGCCCGGAGGCCACCATCACTGAACTAAGCCTGTGTCATATCACTGGAATGAGGGCGATGCTAAGAAAATTCAGCAGTAAGTGAATCTGGTTTGGCAAACCTGTGGGGATCTCCATAGTTAAGTTGAGTGTATGTTAAAGATGCATAATTGAACTCTTCCCTTCTTCTGACATTAAGTGTTTACCACTTACACTAGGGGGTCAGTTAAGGGATACAGAGCTAGTTTCAAATGCTGGGCTGGAGTTTCAGGCTCTTGAGCAGAAAGAAGTATTGAGATATGCCTGCTGTTGTGTTTGGTTTTGTTTACTAAGGAGTTTTTCACATACCCTTCGTGTGTGTGTGTGTGTGTGTGTGTGTGTGTGTGTGTGTTTGGTAATACTGAGTGCTTAAATCAGGGCTATGTATCCTGAGTCTGCCATTGGAGCCACACTTCCAGCTCTATTTGCTTTTATTGTTCTGTGTGGTATTCTCTGTTGTCCACAGGCATACCTCTCAGACTGAGGCTTCTTCATTTCTAGCTCTGCTCCTATTTTGCTAGATAAAAGCTGACAAAACTGGGGCTGGGAAGGTGGCTCAGTGGTAGAGCGCTTGCCTTGCATGCATGAGGCCCTGGGTTCGATTCCTTAGCACCACATAAGCAAAAAGAAAAAAAGCCAGAAGTGTCACTGTGGCTCAAGTGGTAGAGCGCTAGCCTTGAGCTAAAGAGCTGAGGGACAGCACCCAGGCCAAGAGTTCAGGTCCCACGACCGGACCCAAAAAAAAAAAATTAAAAAATTAAAAAAAAAAAGCTGACAAAACTGTGTGTGGTAGCTGTAATTTTAGCACTTTAGAGGCTTAGGCAGGAGATTTGAGAGTTCAAAAAACAAAAACAATCATCATCAACAAACACAGCAACAAAACCCCCCAAAAGCTAACTTAAATTCCAGTGAAGGAACCAAGAACAATTCATTGATAATGTATAAACATTTATACTAGGGAAGCCAAAACAGATTAACAGGAGGTCTTAACTTTAATTCTTAACTTTCATCTCGTTGACAGTTTGCATTTAAAGGCAGACCTAGTGAGCTTTGAGTTCAACATTTATTTGATATGTGTCTACTTTCAGTCCACTACTATGCCATTGAGCTCTTTCAACAATTAATGAGTCCAATAGTGTCTTTGCTTTTATAGAATTTTCAGCCAAATCAAGGGGATTGCCATGAATTACAGAGTTTTTGTTGGGATTCGGTTTATAAATAAAAGCATGATATCGTATGGTAGGGGCACTTAATCTTGTCTAGAGAGTTAGCAGAAGTTGAAGGCTATAGTAAAAGAAGGTGAGGGTACACTAACTGGATCTGAGCATCACACCATAACAAGCAGTATTTTTAAAACTTTATTAAGTGGTTACATACATTTCACAATATTGTGGGATAGTGATACTTAGCTAACGTCACAAACACACTTTTAACCTTCACAAGATGAATTGTTATCATCACGTTCTATAAAGCTTGTGAACTCTACAAACAATACACCTATTTTTTCCAAATCAGGTGAAATGTATCTTTCTTTCCCTTTGCTTAGTGTAAGCTGTTCCCTCGTTCCCTCTCATCCCTCCCTCCCATTGCTGCCCTTGAGTTGCTTAGTTCACTTTCATCAATGTCCAGTGCAGCTGATGGACCGTTCTGCTGTATTTTTCACCTGTTTCCTTCTGATTCTGTGCCTTCCTCTTAGCTTCCCTCAGATGTGCAAAAACTATTTTTAATCTTGATGATTCCTGATTGTTATGAACCTGTTCCCCTTTCACATAAAGAGAGAAAAATTACTAATGCTTGAAATGATTGAATGTGATAATGCACATAAAATTAACTAGTATATTCAGAGGAATTCAGCAAATGATAATTGCCAGTATCTCTCTTCCATCCAAACTGAAGAACCTGAAGAACCATGGCTAGCATGAACACCAACGACAAAAGGTTTTCTTGGGTAGTAAGTGGCATTAAGTTCCCAAATGGTTTTATAGATAAAAGCGTTTCTGGGGATACTATCAGATTTTTCTTTTGCTCTCAGGTAGGGTATATATTCTCCACTGGACTTTGAACTACTTTCCTTTAAGAGCCTCACTTTTAGTTTTGCTGAACAGTGAAAAATGAGTTCCGAGATTCTGGTCTAAACAAACCTACCCTATTTCCTCCAACACAATCACTTATATTACAGTTTCTTTGTGTTTTGAGACCAAGTCTTGCTAGATAGACCAGGCGGGCCTTGATCTTATGTCTTCCTGCCTCACCTTCTAGAACGTTGAGATTCCAGTATGCAACAGCATGCCTGGCTTTCAACTAAATTACATTGGGTGAATAGGAATAAGTATTATTAATTTAGTTTAAATGATGCATCTATAGGATGGAGGGTTTGCTAGAATGTTAGAGGAAGGTTCACTCTGTTTTCTTCTTACAGCAGACATAACTCTGGATCCAGCCACAGCCAATGCCTACCTGGTCCTGTCTGAGGATCTGAAAAGCGTGAAATATGGCGGAATCAGACAGCAGTTACCTGACAACCCAGAGAGATTTGATCAGTCTGCTACTGTGCTGGGAGCTCAGATCTTCACCTGTGGAAGACACTATTGGGAGGTGGAAGTTGGAAACAAGACCGAGTGGGAAGTGGGTATTTGCAAAGACTCCGTGAGCAGGAAAGGGAACCTGCCAAAGCCTCCTGGGGACCTCTTCTCACTTATCGGTTTAAAAATCGGAGACGATTATAGTCTCTGGGTGTCATCACCTTTGAAAGGCCAACATGTCCGAGAGCCTGTGCATAGAGTCGGTGTCTTCTTAGATTATGAATCGGGACATATAGCATTCTACAACGTGACAGATGAGTCCCTCATCTACAGCTTCCCTTCAGCCTCTTTCCATGAAGCTCTCAGGCCGATCTTCTCCCCTTGTCTCCCAAATGAAGGGTCAAATATAGACCCTCTTACCATCTGCTCACTGAATAGTCACATCTGAAAGACTGACCTTGAGCTTCCACTCAGGATAAGGTCTATAACCATCAGATGACTATTCATTAAGATGATTAATGTATTGCAAAAGCCTTCACATCAGGTGATTTGAAAGAGAATTCCCCTCCTCCCCATAGAGTGAACCTGTGAACCTGAGCCCTCACCAACGCACCAATTAGAAAATGAATCCAACACCAATAACAAGAGCTGGTCATATTCTGTGTCTACACAAATTCATTATCTAGACTACCCAGTGGCCATGCTGGTCAAACAAAATATAAAGGGAGAATTAGCCCCTATGATTCTGAATCTTACAGCCAGAGACAACTTTATAAATACATGTCATTTGTTCAAATGTATTTATTTATTTGATTCTTAAAAAAAAACTATATGCAGTGTTTTTGTCTTTTGTGGTTCTGTGTTTTGTGTCGTGGTCCTCTTTGTAGAGCTCTGTGTGATGGCAATCTACATCTCCCTGAGACCTCATACATTAGTTATTCTTTCTGGTGTAGATGACAGGGTCTCAGGGGAAACAAAGGAAGAGGCAACAATGCTTGATAAGAAATGTACTCATTACCTTGCCCATGTAATTGTAACCCCTCTCTACAGTATTTTCACAATAAAAAAAAAGCTGCTTTTTCTTCCGATCTTGTGAGAATGGAGCATTTATAGTCAGGAAGCTTATAAGTCCTATGTGCTATAAATATTGGTGTGAACACCCTCAGATCATTGATATAACCATAATCAATAGAGGTGGGAGCCTGTATTATTGTTTGTTAATATTAAAAGATGACAAACTGAAGTGAATAAATGTGAATAAATGTATCAGAGGAATGGATAACAAGTGACCAAACTGAATTTTAGGTGAGATTGTTTTCTGTGCTTTTCCTATTTGCTATGAGGCTTTTGATCCACGGAAGACCAAATGAAGTCCAGTCTTCTGTCTCAGAAAGCCAGGAAAACCAGAATGCGTGGATTTTTTTTTTTTTTTTTCACAGCCAGGGTACTGTGTAAGTGAAGCTTCTATGAAGTGATTTCGGATCACCTTCTCACAGAGGTAAAGTCTTCGCCAGGCTCTCCACTGTTAGAAGTTGGGCCCTATAGGATTTTTCTGTTTTTTTTTTTTTTCTTCCAAAAGGAATTCTGCTTTATTTACTGCAGAGCATCACCAATCACAGAGGGGCTCTCTCAATCTCTCGATCTCTTACCATGCAGAGAAGTGAGCATTAAAAAAGCAGAAAGTCAGCTGTAGAATTTAACAACTATACATGGCTAATTCTAAAGTTTCCAGGAAACCACAGGCTTTCACCTAAATGATAGGCTAGGATGGAGGAAAACTAGTAACCAAATACATCAGCACACATGGCCATAAAAACAAGCATTCACTCATTGGTCCAAATCTAGTTTGTCCTTCAACTCCACATATTTCAACCTTATGCCCTCAGAGACAGGGGAGCAGTTGTAAACTAAGCATAGGATCCACTTCTCTTCTTTGCAGAGGACATTTCCTTGAATAGGAATGATACATTGCAAAAATCTTGCCATTATTCCTCCTTTAACTCTCAGTTCCTCTCCCTCAGTTCCTGTCTTTTACTCTCCTATGGTTCAACAATTTGGCCACTGGACAAAAATTCACTAGTAGCCCCTTGTTCAATGGGCATTCTCACTATGGTCTCCAAGATCATAACCAATTCCCCAAAATACATAGAAATAAGAAGGAAGACTATATTTCTTGAGGCTAGAGAACATCAACGTATTCTTCCCTGACAAATTACAGCTTGGATACTTTGTATTTTTGATTTTCTTTATCCTATATTTTAGAAAATGTTATATATCTCTAGACTTGAAATCTAGTTTTCCAATAAAACTTCATAAGATTTCAGTTAAGATCTGACATCACTTTAACCTATTACGCTTAGAGAATATTAGATTGACTTTGGATTACTTTATGGGGTTCTTGCACTAATTTAATTTAAAAAACACACCCAATTTCTTCTTCCATTTACTTAGACTTGGCTATGTCTGTCTTGAAGGAATGGAACAGAGCAGTAGGTCACAGTAAGAATACATAAGAATAATGAGCCGTGTGCTGGTGGCTCCTGCCTGTAATCCCAGTTATTCAGGAGGGTAAGATCAGAGGATCGCAGTTCAAAGCCAGTCGGGGCAGCCAAGTCCATGAGACTTTTATCTCTAATAAACCACCAGAAAACCAGAAGTGGCACTGTGGCTCAAGTGGTAGAGTGCTTGCCCTGAGCTGAAGAGCTGAGGAACAGCGCCCAGGCCCAGAGTTCAAGCCCCATGACCGGAAAAAAAAAAAAAAAGAATGTAAAAATCACATGAAATCTTGCTAACCTGTTTTTATTTTGATATGCTTATCCTATTTTTGTAACTTTTGTTTATGTATTAGATAAATAGAAAAAAAATATTATTTTGTTGGTCATGGGGCTTGAATTGTGGGCCTGGTCTCTGATTCTGTGCTCTGTTGCTCCAGGCTAGCGTTCTACCACTTTTGAGCTATTGTACCACTTCTGGTTCTCTGATAGTTAATTGGAGATAAGAGTCTCATGGACTTGGCTGCTTGGGCTGGCTTTGAACTGCAATCCTCAGATCTCAGCCACTTGAGTAGCTAGCATTACAAGTGTGAGCCACCAGCACCAGGCTTGGAATACTAATATTATATAATAAACTTTCTTCATATCATTACATGCCTTTGGAAAATACAATCTTTTTCATCCCCAAATATGTAAATATGTATCTTCTAAGAATTAGCACATTATAAATAAATGTATTACCTTCAATAAATGATATCATGATATTAGGTAGTAAGCAGTTCATATTATAAATTCCCCACTTGTAATGTTCTTTGTGCATGATTTTTTGTCTTCCAGCATCCAGGAATAATGTAAGCATTGGCATCGAATTTAATTGTCTCAGAATAATGGGAGTAATACTTTATCATATGGCACTTCTTAATTTATCTACTCATTTGCCTACTGTAGAACATTTAGATTGCTTTCTATTTGTAGCTACTATAAATGACACTAGAATGAACACATGTGTTCATAAACCTTTGGGCATATCTAATTGTTCCTCAAGTGTATTTCCTCTAGACAGGAAAGTGCTTTGTAGTTTGTATGGCAGCATGCTTGTAGATTTCACATCCCACTAAAAATGTTCTTCATGCACTGCTGATACCCCAAAGGTTCTATTCACATTCCTAAGACAGACAACCTAAATTTGAGAGAAGAATATGAAAGAATATGAAATCTACTCCCCTGTGATCTTGGCAGAAGCATTGAATTGGTACCTGGACCCTGGGCGCTGGTGGCTCACCCTTATAATCCTAACTACTCAAGAGGCTGAAATCTGAGAATGGCAGTTCAAAACCAGCCTAGGCAGGAAATTCCCTGACACTCTTATCTCCAACGACCCACCAGAAGCTGAGGCTCAAAAGTGGTAGAGGGCTGGCCTTGAGCAAAAAAGTTCAAGGCCTCAAGCCTTGAGTTCAAGCCCCATTAACAACAAAAGAAATCCTAGAAGGAATTGGAGTTGGACTTGTGCTTTAACATCAGTCAATCTTGGTTTGAATGTTTTACCCTCAAGTAACTGTTTTATCTTTCATATGCTATTTTGTTCTCAGGGCCTTAGTTACCTCTTCTCAAAAAATGCAGGAAATTATGTGGTGATTATGGGGAACACACTAAACAGTGTATAAAGGATGGAGAATTTTTGTTAGTTCTCTCCCCTCTGGAAAATTGGCATTCTGTAACTCTTCAGAAAGGTGACAGAAAGGCTAAAGGACACTTGTGGGGAATATAGAAAATATAGGCATTAAAATGTTTGAAATATTTCCAAGGTAGATGTTACTTTTCTTTTCCCCCTTTGGTTGTAAGCTTGAACTCAGGGCCTAGGCACTATCCCCAAGCTTTTTTGATGAAGGCTAGTTCTCTGCCACTTTTTTTGTTTTCGGTACGTTAATTATTGTAAAAATGCTGTACAGAGGGGTTACAGTTATGTGAGCAACGTAATGAGTACATTTCCTATTGAGCATTGTTGCCTCCTCCTTAGTTTCCCCTCTAACATTCCTTCCCTCCCACCTCCACAACTACTCCCCCCACCCCACCGAAGTTGCAAAATTCATTTTCAACATAGTGTTTTGTACATCTCATGGTTATAATGGGTCAACCTGTATCCTTATTTAAGCATTTTGTTTTTTTCCCTTCCCCTCCCCGAATTAGAGAAGTGTATGTACAAGATGCAGGATGCAGGGCACTGACATCAAATACAGTGAAAACAGGGGTTATACCATGGGGGAGGAACATACAAAGTAACAAAATAATCACATGGTACATTATAAATACATTAGTTCTCTGCCACTTTGAGCCACAGCTTCACTTTTAGTTTTTCGGTGGTTCATTGGAGATGAAGCTCACAGACTTTCCTGCTTGGGCTGGCTTTGAATTGTGATTCTCAGACCTCAGCCTCCTGAGTAGCTAGGATTACAGGCATGAGCCACCAGTGCCAAGCAAAAATATTCCTATTTTAATAGAAACAATGTTAATACAAAACCTGGTTGGAGAAAAAAAAACCTCAATGGATTCTTTTGTCAGATTTTATGGAAGTCCTTTTGACTTTCATGCTGAGTATCCTGTCACTCAATTCAGAAAATCAACTGATTAAATAATAAAATAGTAAACATTTAAAACGCTAATCTCATTCTTAGTTTTCAGGCAATCCACACTCGCTCTGAACTCCTAGGACAAGGTAAAACTTTTAAAACCACTAATTCTGCAAGTGCTTTTCTTTTGCTTTCCTGGTGGTGGTACAGGGGCTTGAACACAGGGCCTAGGTGCTATCCCTCAGCAATTTTGCTAGTCGGTTTTCAAGCACTTGAGCCATAGCTCCACTTCTGGCTTTTTGGTGGTTAATTGGAGATAAGTTTATTCTCATGAACTTGCCTGCTGAGGCTGACTTCAAACCACTATCCTCAGATATCAGCTACCCTCC